AGCCTCAATCAACGATGATCCGCACCGGGTTGCCGCGGCTGTCGGCGCCCCTAAGTGAAATCCTCTTTGTCGTGGCAGTGCCTGGCAAGCCCTCAAAAAAGGTCCTGGCAAACCCATGGCAGATATTGCCACTGTTTTGTTGGCAAATGCCGGGCACACTGTTGTTCATGGCGTAAAAAGCCGCCACAAGACGTGACGCCGCAACATCCAAAACGGACTCTCAATTTGGAGGCGACAGCAGCTGAGGAAACCCATTTTGCATGCTGAGGTGGAACACCAGCAGCTCAAGGGCGGTAAAATCTAACATAATGTCCATGGAACGCATCGCCCTCGGCGCTATCCGAGACCGCGCGAGTTGCTGAGGAATGCGATGCGGAGTGCACCCGAGCGCAAAGATGTGTGCATCCCTGTAAGTAACCTTTGCCATCCAATCCTCAACCACGCGGCTCACAGACGCACCCTCCACGGCAAAAAAGTAGGGTGCAGGGCTACTCATAATCGGCTGCTGTGGCGTCATGGGGTCCTCGAGCAGCGTCACGCCGTGCTCCATGAGATCATGGAGACGCAGTGACCTGCTCAGCACAGACGCAGCATGGGCATCGCAGAAAAAAACTTTAGACGATCCATGAACGGCGTCAAGCATCTGATGGAATATATAATCCCGCACACAAGCACAAACGCCATTGCTGGGCTCACACAGCTGCCCGCTTCCGTCGGCCTTGACCGCACCAACCCGCCACGCATAATATGTCAAGTAGAAGTCACACAGAAAATGTGCTTGGATATGCGTGTGTGTGTCTTTTGTGTGCGCAGATTCCACTCGCACCGTTTTTGTTTATTTGCGTCTCAGAAAATCTAACAAACACACAAGCAATGCCATACCACCATCTGGTGCCCCCAACATCGGCAACCAACACGAGGGGAGCTATGTGCACCGGAAATACAACCAATCTCAAATAAAAGGTCAAACAGAGCGGACACAGCACATGCATATGGAGAACGGCACCCATTGAAATGGATGTTTTTCTATTGGACATACAATGGTGGGTGCGGGCCACGCAGGAGGAAGCTCAGTCGCCTCGCAGCGCAACGGCATCCACACCGCAAATCCATAGAGTGTTGCCACGGCGGCAGCAGAGGCAAGCAGAAGAAGCAGCGGACAGGGAAAAGCAGCAGCAACAGCGTCATCACCGGGAGTCGGGAACGTGGCCTGCTTGCCGTCCGTCTCGCTGCTTCGGTTCCTGCCGCCGAGAGAAGCTTCTTGCGGTCTGTCGGGGCATCCTGGCTGGATCCACTTCTCCTCTGGCGACGGATTCTTCTGAGGAGCAGCTAAGTCGACATCCTTCGGTGGTGTGCCGCGGCCGGTCTCAATGCTCTCCGCAACGGGGACGGAAGCCCGTGGCAATCCTTCTTCAGTAGATGCCGGTGAAACCGTCCTGCTCCACACGCCCTCTCCTCGCCGTCCCACGGAACCACTGGAAGTGGGCTACCGCTGGTGGCAGATATCGTGCACAACTGCGCGTGGTCACGGCAAATAACGCTTTCCCTCATCGTAGGGCGGAGTGGCCCAAGCAATCGTCGCCCCGTCCGTGCATGGGACCAACGGACGTTACCCTCTTCAGTCGCTTCCAGATGCACTTACATGCCGAGACACCTCAATGCCACATGCAAGGCAGCACCGAGATGCGTCTCCTCCGAGCCCCTCGCATCCGTCGTGTTGTTGGGAAGCGTGTCCAGACACCACGAAGAGGGATCATCCCCAGGCATCGCAGACAAATATTCTCCCCTCCAAATAACACCCTCAATATTCCTCACATCCAGTGCGGGATCAGTGATGGGGCAACGGCCCATCGAGTGTTTTGCTGATATCTTATGAATGCTCCCCAAACACCAACTAATGGAATAACGATCCGACGCACAGCGTCTGGCAGGAACGCCCAATGCGCAGAGCATGTAGCAACATTCACTCATGTTCAGTGCGGAGCACTTCCTCTCTGCAGCCGTCTGCACCCACAATCGGTGCCATCCACTCATCCCTAGCGTGGCGCTGCGACCGGTGCGGCTCCAGCTTCCTCCCGTCCCCATCGCCATCCTGCAGTTCCAAGCCATCAATGTCGTCGCAGTCGTGGCGCTCCCTCGCAGCCATCGCGGCATTCGTCGAGTGCACCACCACCGACAGCGCTCTGCCACGCACACCGACAACATTCCTCACCATGCTGCGGCCACCCATGTGCGGGCAGGTGAACCCTAGAGCATGGGCCAACAGGTGCGCGGCGATGCGGGTGACGATGCGTCCGTGAAATAAAACGGCCGAGCAATTTGCATGGCGCCAGCGACTGGACGGCCATCCTCCAGCGTGGCGCAAAGCAGTGCCCACACACCACCCGACGCCGCAGCCACGCACTTTGTCATGGCAGAATTGGCAACACCAGTGGAACAATGCCCAGCAGTCACCGTGCACCGACTGCAAACGCTGCCCGTGGCAAGTGGGGGCACAATCAACGGACCCTCCAGTGGCCGGACGAGCAGACGATCCGAATGCAGTTACACAGCAGCAGGGACAGTCTCCTCGGCAAGGATATTACCGTGTGCAGAGGATAGAACACTATCCTCAGAGTGGCGATTGTCATTCATTAGATTCATTGCGTAAGACCAGGAGAAGACGCAGCGCCTCCTGATGTCACACGGGTCTGTTTTTGACGTCTTGATGCGGACGGGCACCCATGGGTCCTTCCAGACGCCGCTGCACAACTGCTACGCATCCAGCGCCCTGAGATGCATTTTCCTCACCGTAAACAAGATAAACCTCGCTGTGGGAGGAGACCACATCGTCACAAAATAAGGAATACTTCAGGGTGAAAGCAGGACATCCGCTGGCAAATCACATCGCACAGATCATCACAAACAGAAGAAGCAGCGCTGCTGGCCGTGGAGTGGCATTGATCAAATGACGCATGGCGTATGTCAAAGAAAAGCTAATTGGCCTTACAAGAATACGAGAAACTGGCACTTCCTCAACAAAAACAAAACAATAGAAAAATAAAAACAAAAATTCAGGTGTTCGCAGTAAAAGCAACCCAATAATCCACAAAAAAAAAGGTAATGGGTGCACTCAACCACAACACAAGTAAAACAATAAAAGAGAACAAGAAAAAAAAGCGTGGGACGACCAGCGCACACACTCTCATTGCTCCCGTAAAGCAAAACACACACACAGGGAGAGAGAGAGGTCGCCCACTCAACGCAATGGAAACAAAAACAGTTAGGGTGCTCCGCCCATGCAGCCAGGCAGGACGGCAGCGGTGCGTGTGGTGCAAAAAAGAGCACCAACGGGCCTGCATGGGTGTGCATGCATATATACAATGGGCACATTATGTGTGTGCTTCGTGGGGTGAGGTGAGGGCGAGAGTCCATGCAAGGGGACACACACACACAGAGAGTGAGAGAAGGACGAGTGTGTGTGCGGGTGGTGCACGGCTCTCTCTCCCTCACTCTCACGCGGCCACCACCGCAGCAGCAGCCGCACACGCAACAAGAAGAAGCAAAAGAGGGGAGGTGGTGTGGGAGACAGCGGTGCTGCTGTCACTTTCGCCAGGTTTGGTAATGTTATTCATGTTGATATTTTTGAATGCGGCCGTTTTTTCAACGTCTGCCTCTTTTTTGGCTGTTGGTTCTGCTCCATCCGTTTCTTTTTCTTCGTTTTTGCTTTGTACGTGTTGTACCTCCTTATCCTTTTGCTCTTCTTTCGTCGTTTTCTCTGGTGTTGTTGGCGTTTCTTCTTTTAATTTTTCTGCGGTGGTTCTTTGTTCCTCTTTCGTTTCTGTTTCCTCCGCTTTTTCTTCCGCCTTTTGTTTTTCCCCTTCCGCTGCATCTTCCGTGGAAATTATTTCCGCTGCTACATTCTCTCTCAGCTTTACTGCTGGTGGCTCTTGCACTGTCTTTTCATGGGTTTGTCTCTTTCCTCCAACATCGTCACGAGTCAACTCGACACTTTTGGGATTCTCGACGTCGACGGAAACAACAGGCGGAGAGGCTGCGGCCGCTTCAGTCAATTTATTGCCGGCAACAACATTTCCATTTTCTTTTCCAGTGCCTCCTGATGCCCTTTGTCCAGTACCTGCTTTCTGCTTTCCTTGTTCTTGACTTCCATCAGATGTCCCGCTTCCTGCATTATCATCTTCTTCTTCATCGGTTTCTTCAACTTCCTCGTCCTCTTCCTCTTCGCTTTTCTCCTTTGTGCCTTCATCGTCACTTTCCTTTTTTATTAATCCTTCACTTCCTTTATCCGGCGTACCAGGAGGCTGTGCGGAACTTGTTGGCTTCCCTTCTCCAGTTGTAATAACTGCTGATCCTGGCACTGAATTCGGCGATGATTCCAACGGTTGTTGATCCGGCAACTGAGCGACACTCCCTGTTAGTGTTTGTGGAGAAGATTCATGATTGTGTTCAAGTTCCTCAGCGTTCTCAGCAGCAACAACGACAAACTGTTGAGGCCTCCAATGACCGCGGCCATCCACAACGGCACGCACACCGTCCGTCCCCTGACGCACGCATTCCTCCACGGCAGACGCATTCGCACCGTCTCCTGTCCTCCTGCTGACCTCCTCCGCGCATTCACTCCGCAGCTGAGCGCGCCACCGCAAGAGCGAATACTCAACCGCACTGCCATCGGCATCCCCACCGCAGGCACCGTAGGCCACAATTCCAAATACACCGCACCACAGCACGCAGAGGGCACACACCAGCAGCACACGGCCAGTCATCATCATCGCCATCACTCCTGTCACTTGCGTGCAGCCTTCAGCACAAACTAACTCCCCGTCAAAAAGGAGCAAAAGCAAAGGGTGAGAGACAAGTCACACAGTCACGCACCACCACAACAATTAGGTGGACGCCGCTCAACAACAACAACAACAAAAAGAAAAGAAGTGCTCCTCGCCATTGTCCCGTTCCTCACACCCCCACAGTTACTATTACCGTTATTCTCTCTACTCAGTCCCTCACAGGCACGCCACGCTCACTTGAACACACGCCCCTCCAGCACAGGCCTCGGGATCGCCGGGCCCTCCCAGCACAGGTAGTCCGTGATGCGCTCCCGCTGCGCCGCGACGTCGGCGACCTCCTCCCAGTCGAACAGCTCCGTGTCCTCCACGTCCTCCACAATCGCCGGCATGCCCCGGCCGCGGAACACCCACAGCGCCACAATGTCGTGCCGCCTCTCCTCCCCAATGATGAGTGCAACGCCGAACGCGTACTAGCGCACGTGCTCCATGCGCTGGAACCACCCGCGGATCAGGTTGGCCGTCATGAACTGCATCTCGGTGTCCTCGTTGTGCTTGGAGCCGACCCTCCCATCCTCTCGATCCACGGCCTGGGTGCTGCGAGAGGCTGCCGAAAAATGCCACTTTTGTGGAAGACGCAAATATGCGGAAACAACGGCCACCCTCACACATCTCCACTCCCTCTATTCTCCCACAAATAAGGACGGTGGTATGGGGAAGGGAAGCCCGCCGCACAGCGCACGCACAAAAGCATACGTAGCAGCAACGCCATCCACGTCGCACCACAACAAAGTGCCTTGCGCACAACACACACACGGCCGCAAAGAGAGGGACGTGACGCATCCAGGTCCACGGTGCTGTTTTTTCCTTTCTTCCCCAACGAACTGGAATTACGCCCCATTCTCACAGTGAGGCACGGCGCATACCATCTTCTCCCCTCCGACTGCACTCAGCAGGCCGCGTCCAGTCACCCTCGTGCCATCGCAATGGGGAGCACAAACAATCGTCGTCGCGGACCATCGGTGCCACTAGCAGGAAAGAAGAAGTGGAGGCATGTCAGTAGCAAAGCCAGCAGAGGAACACTCAACGGGAGACGGTAACAAAAAGTGACAGTGAGTACGGCACAAACAAAAAACAAGCCACAGGTATTTACAAAAAAAAAAAAAAAAATTGTGAGTCCAACAGAACTCACAGAATAAAAAGCTTGTTCAGGCAGGACTGTCATTTCATGTGCCATGCAACGCAATAGAAACGACCTTGTGTTTCTGTATATAAATATTGCCTGCGCAACAAAAATTAAAGAAAAGTGTTCGTACTGTTCCACCAGCCCACACAACATTCCTCACATTTCATGCGGCATCCGGCCTGTTCCTCCGCTTCCCCTTTCGGGCAGTCCGTGGGACGCACAGCAATGAGGCCGGCACCGCGTGTGGGCAAGAAAAACCAAAACAAAGAGGGAGAAACACGTCACTCGCGACAGTGTACAGCTTCAACAATTGAAAAAGAAAAGCATTATTAAAACAAAACACTAAAATCAAAATAAAAACAACGAAGAAACAATCACATACAAAAAGGAAACATGCAGGCGTCACCACAGCAAAAAAAAGTGAGGGGTAATGGGAGTATGCCTATCCAACCACAACACAAGCAGAGATTCAAAACAAAAGAAAGGCCGAAGCGTGGGACGACCAGCGCACACACCCTCATTGCTCCCGTAAAGCAAAACACACACACAGGGAGAGAGAGAGGTCGCCCACTCAACGCAATGGAAACAAAAACAGTTAGGGTGCTCCGCCCATGCAGCCAGGCAGGACGGCAGCGGTGCGTGTGGTGCAAAAGAGAGCACCAACGGGCCTGAATGGGTGTGCATGCAATATATACAATGGGCACATTATGTGTGTGCCTCGTGGGGTGAGGTGAGGGCGAGAGTCCATGCAAGGGGACACACACAGAGAGAGAGAAAAGGGCGAGTGTGTGTGCGGGCGGTGCATGGCTCTCTCTCACTCACTCTCACGCGGACACCACCGCAGCAGCAGCCGCACACGCAACAAGAAGAAGCAAAAGAGGGGAGGTGGAGTGGAAGACCGCGGTGCTGCCGTCGCTGTCGCCAGGTGTCGCCGTATGATTTGTTTGAGTAGTTCCTGTTGATTGGGGTGATGCCTCACTCATTTTGACGGTGTTGCTCCCACTTTCGTCGGGCGGCGTAATGGAACTTGTTTGAGTGGTAATGGCCGGTGCGGCTGTGGAAGCTTCCAAGGGTTGTTCCAAAGAAGGAGTAACATTTTCACGTTCGTGCCCCTCATCTGACGGTGCTGCATCAATAATTTCAGTACTCCTCGAAGTATCTTCTCTGCGTTCCTCACTATTACTGCTGACGGTATTGTTGTTACTTGAAGAAGATGGCGGATTATTTCTCTCTGGAACTCCACCTAATGCATGCTTCCTCTCCTCTTGACCGAGTGACGCCCCCGGTTCCTCTGGTGGATCTTCGTTTTGTTCATCTTGCCGCTGTTCTCCCGATGATTGTGAAGGTGTCACTGGATCCTTGTGTTCGTGGTCGGACTGTGTCTGCTGTTTTGTTGATTCAATCTCTGAGGCAGCTTCCAATGACGATATCCCGGGTGCGGAACCCTCAAATTTCTTCAGCTCTGTTTTCTCTACGGAAGGGTTTCCTGCTCCACCAGGTGCCGTACGACCGGT